TCAAGAAATATTTTTGAATATAAAGAATCATCAAGCTGTAAATCACAAAAGAATGTGAGTCTAACACAAATAGTATATACTCACATACATACTAAAAAACTAGATTATTCAGATATTATGGCTTTTAAAATAAAAATCTACTATATATTATTTTCATTAACCATATTTGATATAAATAGTAAGGTATTGAAAATGGACATAACCACCCCTGCTATGAAAAAATTAAAGCAAATCGAAATGTTTTTCCTTGTATATGGTTTGTTTTATATTTCTTTTGGAAATGTTTTATATTCTTACGCTTCTTCTGAACATATATGAACAATTCATACAGACATCATAATCTGTAACAAACTTTACTTTGAAAAGCAGATAGATAGGACCTGCAGTTTTCACCGGAAGCATCTATCCAAAGCTCTGTCGATGAGCTAATGGTGTTCCCTCTCATCACAGCTCAGATAAGCACTTTATACTCGGTGCCATTGCTGGGCAGAACCGCACGGGTTAACAGACATCCTTTAGGAACAAGCATTATATTCAAATATTTCCAACACAGTGAAAAGACAACATGAAGAGTTTATGCATTTTAGAGACTAAAGCTAACACTAGTGCGTGAATGTATTAGTTCAGAGAGGTACAATGACTTCTGTAAGAGATGTATCTTTCCAAAAAGCCTGGATGAGAAAGTACACTCAAGCAGGATGACTTAGGGACAAGTCAGGAGGAAGGTGACGGGGATCTGGTGTCTGCGTGAGGCATTGGGGTCAAGGGATGGCTGTATTTATAAGTGTACTGGTAGCACTTGCATCTAAAGCTTACATGTTAATTTGTGTCTTATTAAGCATTAACTTAATTTACCATACACAATTTTTCCCTATCAAGAAAGAAGCAAATTCTATCAAAATACATAAATTATCAGAAAATTTGCCAAGTAACTAAGAATAGAATGCTGATTGGTCTTCTCAGATTTAATGAACAAAAATATCAAATTAGAAGACTACTTTAGAATTGTTCTTTAGATTGAACAAATTATAAATTCTTTCGAGAAATCTCAAGGTATTAAAAAAACAAAATAAGAATATAAAATACAAAAAATACCCAAGAAAAATCTTATGTATCACTGAAAATAGATAAATTTATAAAGCATAATCCCAAAGATAAATTGAAGGAAAATCCCTATCTTCCCCGTAGTTGGAAATTCCATAAATATTATTACACAGAAATGTTTATATTGAAAAAATCACCAGTCAAATCGTACAAGGCTAACAGTAGAACTCATACAATAGCTAATGCCACAGTAATGAGTAAAGCCTAACTGGTTACACTGAATATTACTAAGTCATAAAATATATGGTACTCCAATATAGTATCATTTACTTGATTTAGAAACAAAGAAACAAAAGAAAACAGAAATAAACAACAACAAAACAAACAAGCCGAATATAAGGCAAGAAAAAGGCCCACACACTGATTTTCAGATACAACAGGAAACTAAGGATACCAACAAGGTTTCAGAGTAATTACCATAGAAATAGGCAATCCAAAAAAGTCCTTAGACATTACACACCTCACACTCAGAAAGTGACAAATTAAAACTAATAAAACCTTTATGGATAGTGTTAATTAGTCACCAAACTTATTGGAAATCACTAAAGAGCTATTTTCACACATTTTAAATGATTTAAATACAAGACTACTTTTCCATCCATGACTTTCTCACGTGAAAACGTATGAACCTATAATATTTCCAAACATTTATTACACACAAAGTCACCCAGTTAGCTTTCTCCTCGGCACATTTCACGTGTGGCAAATAAAATATGACACCAAACTATTTTATGTAGAAGTATGTTTTTTTTTTCCTCAGAGGGTTTTCTATTTATTGTTATGTACAGATAAAATCAAAAAGCAAATATAAACCCAACAGTTCAGCATTTGTTTTTAATAGCACTTATTGTATTAGTAACAACCATAGCATTGACTGCAGTAAGACTGCTCATTGAGCCCTGCGTGGTGGCGCACATCTTTAAATTCAGCACTCAGGAGGCAGAGGCAGGCAGATCTCTGTGAGTTGGAGACCAGCCAGCCAGGGCTATACAGAGAAACCCTGTCTAGAATAAAAAACAAAACTAAACACAGATTTCTCATATTATCCATGATTAAGCATCTTCCATTTATACTATGAATATTTAGGGCTGGGCTTTGCGTAGCATATATTAGAGCTTCAGTTCAGAACTTTAAAAACAAATAAGCTTCATCAGATTGACTGCCTAAACCAAATCTAATGAGATACGGCTAATAAGGAATATAGAAGACTATAATACACAGGAAGTCTGGGGATTAAAGCTACATTCAAAATTTTATATTTTACACTCTCCCAGTGATCTCCAGCTCTGTAGACCTGGCTGGCCTGGAACTCCTGAGATCCGCTTGTCTCTGCCTCCCGAGTGCTGGGGTGTCCGTCACATTAGAAAGTGATTAATCCATTCCTTTCTGGCAGTGTTTAAGACATCCGACCTCAGAAGCATACACAATCCCTAGCAGAGCCGAGAGCAGGTGTTGCTCCACGGTTGTCCAAACACTCGGTCCATTTGTAATCCCTATCGTCAAATTCCTGACTTAGTCCACAAGGGCTCCTCACATCTATTCCTGACATGCTTCCTAAAAATGGCAAAATTCTCAGCATTACAAATCATTGTTGTATGAATTCACAGAAGGGCAACTGAAAAGAGGAACAGTATATATCCCTGATATGCCAAGAACTTTGCCTCATCTCTCATTTAGGATTATATACACATCCAAGAACGTTTTAGAACACCACATTTGACTTATCAGTCGATGTCTGATAAGGAATTCTGATACTTCATGAAAGATGATCTCTTAATCTTAGTGAATAAAACCATATGCTGAGCATGATTTTAGCTAGTAGACTACGGGTACCACAGACTCACCTGAAGATAAATTGCTCCAAGCATGCCGTCCATAGACCTCAGTATTACGACATGCTGTTTAGAGCAGTCAGCACCAAATGGTAGTGTTTTACTCCTCCCATCACATGGCTCTAAAGCCCCACGTTAAAATACCATCTACAGAGCCTTCTTGTCTTTTAAAAGTACAAAACTGTTTTGGCTTTTCAACAGTTGTTATCTTTCATTAGGCTATTACATGACTAATTCCTAAAATTTAGGGTTTGGATTTACACAACCAGCTGTCATAATATATAGTAAAACTAACAATTGTCAAAACATAAAATTTAAATCATTATATTGACATGAAATACTCACTAATTTCCTCTATCGTAAGTAGGTTTTGTTCAATTAAAGGATGCAAGTGATTACACATATTTTATGTATGGTATACACATATACCCATATATGTATAGTTACATACTCACATATATAAGCATGAATAAACGAAAAATATTTAAGTTAGTCTTTGAAATTTGATGTTCGTAAGACTTAATGCTCTTCTAGGCAAACATTGCACTGCCTTTTGATTTCTATATAGGAATCTATAATTATATGGCCACAAACATCTTGTGTCAAGTATGATGTCAAATAATGGTTTTTGATCAAGGAGAATCCATATTACACAATATTGCAAGGAGAATTGACCATTCATTTTGTTTGTTTATAGTGGCAGAAATCTATCATAGAAACTTACTCAACAAAAGCAAAGGCTCTACTACTGAACTAAATGTTTAGTTGGGGAGATACTTTTAAGGAGGTAGTTTTTGTGATATAAATCATAATATGAATTAATTTTACTTTGTATTTACATTTCAATCTCCTTAAATGTTTTAAGATAATTACTATTTCCAAGTGAACTGATTCTTCAGTTAAGACATAAGAAGATTTCCATTTTCACCTCGAATGAATATATTGAAAGTTTTAAGTTGAATTGCTTCATTTAATTTTCACTGGGTTTTGCTGTCTTTCCTGGCACTCTAGACTTACTTAAATGCTCTCTCCACACGCCCTGCCCTTCTTCGTAGCAGCGGTCATAACGCAAACTAACATTCCAGCACTCATTGCATCTGCTGCTTAACTTGTGCATGTCGCCAGACATGGGTTCTTTGTCTCTACTGCGGACTCAAATAATTCCTTAACAACCTTAATGTTAGCATATGATGGGGTGGCAATAGACATTTGTGAATGAACTATTTTAATTTATATAGATGTTTAAACTATAGGTTTTTAAACTCTGAGAAAAAATAAGCCAACATATAAAAATACACTGTCATTGATCCTACAGACAGCCGTTTAAAATATTTTAACTAGTAAAAACTTCATTTGAATATTTTACACGTGATAAAATTTTGCTGTACACCCATTCATCTAATTAAGAATTAATGCAGTACTAGTTATTGAATTGATCTTCACAACTAGCATTCCTTTCCTTTACTCCTCCTAAAATATGGGGGATGGGGGTTTGTTATGCAGTTAATCAAACTTTTGCAAAAAAAAAAAAAGAAAGGAAAACAAAATATTTCAACTCATGGGTAAAATCAATGATTTGAAAAGACACTGATTGAGTTCATAAACTGTGCCACCCTTTCTCATTCATGTCGCAGTCAGTAGCTTTGACTCTAAAAGCTGTAAGTAAAGCGTTACAGTAGAACTATTTCCTAGCATTTGCGGAATGAAAAAAATAGGAGTGCATAAAAAGACAAAACTCAATATCCACATTGAGCTTTCTTCAGTCGTGTCTGGGGAAGGGAGTCCTTCCGAAACAAGACACCATCAGACACATAAAGCAGACACTCACTTGTGCCTACATTGTCATTTTCTTTTTCTTTACATCAGGTCGGTCTTTAAAAACACAATGCCAATTTAAGAAACAAATGATGATTAAGTAGTTATCAGTGTAATCTACATGGGATCCACACACGGTAAAGTAGACATCAACATGAGAAAATGAGTACGAGGCCACGCGTATTCCAAAAGCATGAAATGCAATGCTTATATTCTCATGCTTTCACGAGGTTTCCAACCCTGACAAACCTGGCTGAGATGGGAGTTTCTGTGTCGGCAATGGTTTGTCATCACTTATTGTACCTATCGGCGGTCCCTGCTGGTCTTCCCATGTAACCTCTAGTGTAGATAAAAACAAACAAAACAAGTAATCAGAGCTTGTCACAAACACAGAACATAACAAGAAACTAAATTACTTCAGGAATTGGGATTATTTAAAGGTAAGTTCTCCAACAGATCACATAAGTTGTTAAAATTTTGAAAGTAGGAATTTGATATAGTTTGGATTGTTTTTATGGATCTCAAGGTCAAAAATATTAAATTATACTTTTTGTAAACTTTTAAATTTATTTTCAATAGGATGAGTGGATTCAAAGTATGAGTAAAATAATTAATGAGAATTTAAATAGCTTGATAGAGAGTATACTACCTTTACTTCGTTGATATGAAAAATGTGAATTTGTTTTACAGGTAAAAACTATTAGGAATCGTTTTATTGTGGAAAAATATTTCTATGAAATTTTAACAATTTTATACATATGAGAGAAAATCCATTTCAATATGCAATAAAATGGCTATTTAGTTGGTTACTATATTCATTACCTTCGTTAAATGACAAGAAAATTCTTATGCTATGAAATGCTTCAACCAATGTATTGATAAAACAAGGCAAAAGCAGTAACAGCTTGGCATCGTGAGTATAGCATACCCAATTATGTAGAATAATTTGCAAATTGCTGTAATACGCATTCACTCAATAAATAAGTATTCAGCACCAACTATAATGTAGGAACATGAAATGTACCAAGGAAATAGCAGAAGACAAAATAGGCAAATCCATCGTCACATGAGGGTTTTGATAAAACTTATAACTTAATGAAAAAGAACTAGTAACAATGAATATGTAAACATGCAGTGACTCAGAGATAAAATCTGAGCAGCCAAGCATTAAGGAAATGGGATGTAAAGTGTGTTGGAATTGTAGATGGTATAGTCAATGAAGTCCTCTTAAGAAGGCAAATTCAGTGTAGGGGAAAAGGACAATACAGGTAAGAATATCCACCTGTAAACACTCTAGGTTAAAAGTACGTCTGGTGTCGTCAAGAACAACTAGGAGATCTCTGTGGATGAAGCAGAGTGCCCCAAAGGCAGAGTAAAGCAAAGAGAAAAAACCTGTTGGTCATATACTACAAATGTCAACTACTAATCTTCACAGTAGCTCTCAGGAACAATCTTGTCACTTGCCTTCTTTTTAGAAATATCTCATTTATTTATTTGCTTTTTGTTTACATATTGATTTATTGTGTGTGCGTCTGCCCATGCACACATGCTTCATGAAAATACACACACACACACACACGCATGCACACACACTCACACGCACGCACACACATGCACGCACGCACGCGCACACAGAGTACCATGTACGAAAGTCAAGGACAGCTGGTAAGAGTGGGTTTAATCTTCCCTTTCCACCACGTGGGTTTCATGGGTTGAACTCAGGTCATCGTAGTTGACAGCAAGACCCGGTACCTACCGAGGTATCTCACACTCTGCAGCGTTCTGTCACTCACATACCTCTATATGGTAAGTGAACTGTCACTGCTCTATACAGTTCAAGCTCCACCAAGTTCCACCATGCACACATAGAGAATGTAAGTTAATTTGTCTTTCTGAAATTCTGAATAACGAATGTGTCAATATGCCCTAATATATTAGTAATTGGCTGGTAGGTGGTGGTGCACGCCTTTAATTCCAGCACTCGGGAGGCAGAGGCAGGGGGATTTCTGTGAGTTTGAGGCCAGCCTGGTCTACAGAGCGAGTTCTAGGACAGCCATAGTACAGAGAAACCCTGTCTGTCTGTCTGACTGTTTGTCTGTCTGTCTGTCTGTGCCTCTGTCTCTCTCCACACATATACGGAATTACTGAATAGGAAGTTTATTTAGTAAAACATTAAATTATTTTTGTGAAGATTCCAATTAAACATTTCACTAATTAGATACTCAGTTGTGAATCTAAATTTTACAATAATATAAAACTGACATATTGCTAAAATTTAAGAATTTTAAGGTATTAGGTTCCTAAATTATTACTTTATTTTAGTATTTTTAGTCTATAGATGAGAAAACTAAATATTGATTAATTAAGGTAGCTAATTTGAAGGCACACAAGTCATGAGGATTTGACTATGAGGTGAACAATGTCTACAAGGCAACTTTATCCAGGTAGCCTTCACCACACCAGATAGTCTTGTAAAAAACTGATTCAAAGAGCAGAGGCTCCTAGACTGATTCGTACGCTTCAGTGTGCTCTAACACATACCCATTACACAGACTTGATGCAACCCAGAGGAGACCTCCTATCAGCTGGTTTTAATAGTATGGACACAAGCATCTGAGGAGTATCAGAACAGATACTTATCCTAGTCAGCAAGGGACCAAGTCTCACAGCAGCATGCTGGCAACAGGAGAAATGTGCTATCTCCAGTCTCTAATGAACTACCTCAACGTGAGGGCTTGCAGAGCTGGCATACTGTGCAGACAGAGCTTTGAGTCCCAGTTCTAAAGTGCAGACCTTGCTAACATCCAGGTGTAGAAGACAATCCCAGTAATCCAATTAATCCCAAGGAGGCTTGAGGGTTTGATGATTTTTTTGAGACAGGTTCTCACTATGTAGGTCCAGTACTATGTTGACCAGGCTAGTCTCAAACTTGCAGTGATCCTGCTACATCTGATTCTCAATCCTAGAATTACAGTGAGACTCCATCTCAAAAAACAGAAACAAAAACAGGGGAGACTGGGACATTCATTCCTCTACACCAAATCACCTCCCAAGATTATGTTACCTTCACGATTCTAGGCAAGATGCTCTACAAATCATATTTAGTAAGACAGCAAGGACGTGGACCTGACCGGTAGCTATGAAAGTCGTGAATTCAAAGGAACTTTTCCCTAAACCTGGTCAGTTACCAAAGGATTCAGTATAGACAAAATCATTTGAGGAAAGGCAGAGACAATACAGTAAAAGAGGCATGGCTTCTCTAAAAAAGACACAGAAAGGTTAAGGTTAGAAAAGAGAAAATACGAGTTTACACATATTTAGTCACACAACTTTGTGCTGAGAGAGGAAACCTTACACATATTCCTCCTCTTTATTGCAACCTCTGCTTTTTCTTGGGCCATAAGATATTAGACTTCAACACCCTAAATATTATATGCCTCCAGCATACTATCTTCCAAGTCCATTCCTACTCACTGCCACCGAGTCTTTTCTGCTCAAAAGCACAAATTACAAATTCATGACACTGACGTACGCTTGACACTGGTGTTAACTTTAGACGTGTTGGGAATTATGGACACTGGAAGGGAATGAGGTATTTAGAACTGCGCAACTCCATAACAAAATCTACTCCTATATAGATATTGGTTATATTTTAAAATTAAGACACTATTATTCATTGCATTGACATTGTTTGTAAGAAGACAGAAAGGCAGAAAAACAAAGATAAGAACCAGCATCCTTGTCTGTTACGACCCTGGGCTACATCGTTAGCAAGTTCCGAAAAGCATGCAGAAGCAAAAGGCGGCTACAGGGAATTCGATACCATCAGTCTATTAACTCCCTAACCTGCTGTCTGTTTTTCCTTCCTCTTCTTTCTCTTTATCTCTTCCCTTCCTCTGTGCATTTTCACTTCTCTCTCATTTATAGTTAACTGAATCTGAAATACCATACACAGCTAGACGCTGAAAACTACACATTCGAGAAACAAAGTATTTTTTTTTCCGAGACAGGGTTTCCCTGTGTAGCCCTGGATGTCCTGGAACTAGCTCTTGAAGACCAGGCTGGCCTCAAACTCACTGAGATTCCCCTGCCTCTGGTTCCCGAGTGCTGGGACTAAAGGTGTGCGCCACCACCACCCAGCTCGAGACAAAATATTTTATAGACGACTCATGGTACATCTTGTTGAAAAAGACTTTAGAAAACGGTAAGATGCACAATCCTAATTAATCACTAATGGCCAATTAAGCTGTGTGTGCTAATTTTCAAAAATTATGTAGTATCATCAAGCAACAATAACAAGACATTAATTGATTGCAAGTAAAAATGCTTGTGACATTAGATTCCATCACCCACATCTTCAAAACCCTATGTGATATTTTATTTGACAAGAGAGGACATTGAAGCCCAGGCAAACTTCACAGTCTTAGAAGGAATAATAAGATGGAGACTCAAGAATATGACTTAGAGTGTATCCATTAAGCACTAAGAAACTTGAAAAGTAGCAGTGGACTGAAGAACCCTCAGGCAAAATTGTGTGGCAAATGTATTCTATAGCCCTGTGTATTAATTTTTAGATACACATATAAGCATGAATAAATAAGTTCAGAGAACATAGTCAAACATCACACAATAACATGAGTTGTAATCCAATCCATTTAATTCTACTCTGGTATTGCTTCTTGTGTGAATTAGTTAATGAAGACTAGCTCCAGCAAAGAACTGCTCTCTCTCTCTCTCTCTCTCTCTCTCTCTCTCTCTCTCTCTCTCTCTCTCTCTCTCTCTCTCTCTCTCTCTCTCTCTCTCTCTCTCGTGTGTGTGTGTATGTGTGTAAAATAGTAGAGTTGATTCAGGAAGATGGTCATAATCAAATTTGACTCTAAATCAAAAACTCCTGTTTACAAAGTATCCAGGATTGGCACAAGAAATTATACTAGTAACAGCTAACACTGACATAGCACTTACTATATGAAAATATTATTTGAAGCAATTTAAATATGCTAAATTATTTCACAAAGAAAATGTATAGTAAATCTAGGTGGCAAGCAAAGTTATACAGAAGTGTTTGTCATTTTTGTCCTTTCTAGAGACCTAGTACCCTACACCCCATCTTTCAGAGACCTGATACTCATAATTTGATATTCTACATGTGTGTGATTACTACGAAGATTTGTAAGTGGTAACAGCACCAGCACAGGGTGATCTCTCAACAATAATTCCATTTCAATATGTTAGAAAATCTAACTACTTCACATTATTAAAATAAGTTGTTAGAGAATGGCAAAATATGAAATAATAGGAGATATCGTAGAGGAAAAATGTTCTCAAAGCATGTATAGAAA